TCTCTCTCTCTCTCTCTCTCTCTCTCTCTCTCTCTCTCTCTCTCTCTCTCTCTCTCACTCACACACACACACACACACACACACACACACACACAGATTGACACGTTAAAACTTCAAACATTAAAATCATAAAATCACACAACTAATTTTTAGACAACAGAATATTGAAGGGGAAAAAACAAAAAGCAAAAAAACACCATCTTCATCGCAAAGGTCGAGGGTTCAACCTTGCAATCCCAACTTCTATATGGAACGGCACAAACAACTTTTTTGTAGCCCCCCTCTTAACCCCACCCTTGTTGGATGTATGTGTTGGCTGAATCAGAAATGGACAAGTAGAGATAAATTATGATTTCAGCAATTTGAAATGAAAACACCTAGAGAGTCTGAAAAAAAAAGACACCCCGAGAGATTAGCAAACCCACCTACAGGATGTACCGACCTACAGAGTCGAGACCAAAAAAAAAAATGAAAAAGAGAAAAAGAAGGAGAATCTGATGAACGAGCTCCTCAAAAAGGCGGTGAAGAAAAAGAGGGGGTGGGGAGGAGGATAGCGGGTACTCCAACACTTGTTCTTTAACCAGCCAAAATGATTTCACCAGGCAAAAATGACAACATGATGGACCACAAACAAAATTCCCAAGCATGCAGGAAAAAAAAAAAAAAGTGTCATCATCATCATCTATCGATCCTTGTTACCATACTCATCATCGAAAAAGTGTCATCATCATCATCTATCGATCCTTGTTACCATACTCATCATCTTCGATCCATCATCACTTATCAACGATCATCATCATCATCATCATCATCATCATCCTCATCCTCATCATGCATGATCAATCACCATCATCATGATCTATCAATCGCCGCCATCATCATCATCATCATCATCATCATCATCATCATCACAATCACAATCACCATCATCATCATCATCATCATCATCATCATCATCATCAGCCGCAGCAGCAGCAGCAGCAGCAGCAGCAGCAGCAGCATTACATAACATTTCCACTCGTTCTCAACTTTCTCTCCTGTGGTGAAAGTGATGCATGTTATAGACACATTGCACAAATTCAATTCTGTGCGACGATGCCTCTCACATAAAACAATCATTCAATTCGAACGCTATAGGAAAACAGAAGAAATGAACTGGTTCAGTGATCTCCAACTCAGCCCTGTCCTTCCCTGGAGCCATTGCTTGCACCGCTCATTCACCTCGCCAATCTCAAGCGGCATGTTCTCGTGCGCAACGAACTCACGCACACAACTTAGGAATCCCTCCTCATCTGATGGGAAAGACAAGTTCATCGCTATGCCAAAATGCTGGCCCAGAGGACCTCCGTCATCCATTCCCTTCCCACTTTCAGGAGCATCTGCTGAAGATCCGTCGACTCCGGTAGTCGATCGTACTAAGCCCTGAAATGGACTCGTTGCACAGACAATAGCGTTCCTGGGCCATACCTGTGGGTTTTTGCGTATGTGAATTTGGTTGTTGATAGGAGGGTGATAATGGTGATGGCGGGAGAGAGCGGGTGGGGGGTGTCATTGCAGGAGGTTCAGTGTCGGAGGGTCAGTGCACATTGGGGGAGATGGGGGAGGCGGGGGACGGAAAGGGAGGGACCGAGAG